GGTAAACGTGTTAGCTTTGCAGATACTGTTGAAGCGTTTGGAGATTCAAGTCAAGGGAGGATTTGTTGGGATTTTCCTTGAATCTCAAAATCCCACATCGAAAGTTAAGTAAGTTTGAATTTGTCTTGTATCCCACATCGGGAGTTTAGTAAAAAGTATAAAGGGTTCCACCCTTATAAATAAGATGTTTTGGTTTTAGTTTAGTAACCCCAGAGAGTTAGACACCAAGAGAATAGCTAAGTGAGTAGGCTATTAAAGGGTGTAATTGGGTTTGGGGGTTAAGTTTTGAGTAAGAGTTTTAGGAGACTTTTCTCATTCTAAAAGTCTCACAATTGTAAAGATTTATTTGTTAGTGGATTGTGTTTGGAGTAGGCCATTTTGAGTTGGGCCAAACCAAATATATTTGTGTGTTCTTATTCTTGATTTGAGCTTGCTATTTTGTGTGTGGTTGCTACGCGTGGGTGTTGTTTTTCCCAACACATACAAATATTTTAATTAACTGTCAATAAAAAATTATTATACAATTCATATTGTAAATCCTTCTTTTCCTTTTAAGATAAATACATTAAATATTCATATTTAAAACCTTGCTATTATGTCCTTGTTCACTATTATAAATAAATAACTTAACCCTCAATGACTTTCAGATCGTAGCTTTTCTAGCACTTAGATTTTTTTTTTCTGTATTTGCAAGATTTTTTATTTTTGTACAAATTGTAATTCGTATAGAATGAAAAAAGTTAAAATGCCGTTACCCTTTTACATTATTCAGATTTATTGTTTATAACTTTTTCTTTATCTTTTTATATCTCTTCATTATATTTCTTCACAAATTATTTTAGACAATGCACTTACATATATTTTTATGAACAAATCTAGTGAGAACCACCCATATTTCTATCTTATTGGAGCCATAAAAAATATTGGAGATAAAAGTTGTGATACGTTTCTAGGCTATAAAACTTTGTAGCAGATTGGATGGCTAAGTGCTGTGTAAGTAAGTTAAGGTGCTGTTTCTATTATGGACTACCCATCTTTTGGAGTCATTAATCTATTAACGGCTGATGCCGTGAGAATTACTTTCCAGAGAATTGCGCTATTTAATTTATTTATTTAGAATTTAAGATTTGTTATAGTTATTTTTTTCCAATTAATATTTGATTTTGAATAAATATTTTTAATGTGAGTATTCTATGCATTTTTAAAAGTTCAATGAACATAATATTTGATTTCACATGAATATTTAGAATTCTATGCACAGCACAAGAATTGTTATTGTTTTATAACATGACTTGCTTTATGTTTTAAATGTTAGTGTTTCAGTTTCTTTTTTATGTATTATGATAAAGAAATATGTATTTAAAACAAAGCTAAAGAAATATGTATAACCATTTTTTTTTCATTTTTGTTTGCATGATTTCTCTCTTCTTTTTTTTTTTTTTTCATTTTACTACTATATTTTTGTGCATTTAGTTATTTGCTAAATCACAGACCAATATTGCTTTATTTAATTAAAAAACTCTTTGTTATTATATATTTAACTTATATGTTCCCTTAAAGGTTTTCAACTCAAATTTCATATCAAAAAATTTTTTGGATAATCATCTATATTTAGATATTTTCAAAAATAAAAATTTTCATGGTTTTGGTTTTTAATAACTTTAAATATCTACTTTTTCCTAAACATAGGGAGGAAAATTGCTCAAACTTTCAAGGATATCACCTAAGCTTTCTTTAATAGAAAAAAATTCATTTAATCTACTTTGAATGGTATAACATTTAAAAAATTTGATGATTCAACTTGATTGATGGAGAAAACTATGAATATATAGGAAATTATTGGACAAATAAATCAATTAAAAATCAAATAACAATTATGCATAAATGACAATAAGAAGAATAGATCTTTGTCTTGAAAAAATCTGGCATTAATTAAATTCAAATATAACAATATACTTTTCTTTCAAACTATCATTATTAAGGAAAATTAAACTTGAAATTTTTGTAAGAAAATGAAATATATAAATATTAATATCTTAATTTCATGTTAAAACTTGAAAGTAAAGGAAATGATAAACATTGGCATGAAATGTTGAAGAATGGCGGGGCAAAATAATAAGCGTTATTTTTTAATGTAATTGAACTGCCAAAGCGTTTCGTATATTTGTGTGTATATATATATATATATATATACATTTATTACTATACATTTATTAACTGTAACAATTATTAATTATTCTTGTCACTTTAAAATTTGATCATGAACTCATGTCTAATAACAAGCACATATATATTAAAAATGCTTAATTTTTCTTTTAATTTTTTAGTATTCAATAGTGCAATAAACATGGGGATACAAGGGGATATCATATAAATTAACTTGCACATAGTATATGGTTTTACGATTTTTTTACTTCAAAATATATATATATATATATGCATATTAATATGTGATTACGAGTTATAAATGTATATAAAATAATAAATATAAAATTTTCTTTTTAAATTCTTTCTTATAATAAAAGTCAAAAGATTAGATTAGATTTTCATATGTAAAAACTTTAACATTTGATGTAGATCATATGTAACAAGATATTTTTGAAATTTTACCAAAAAGTATATACATGGGGATGGAGTTATTTTTATTATTCTAAGATATAAAATTTTAGATTTTTTAAATATACTTAACTTATCTTTATTTTATCAAAGTAAACATGAAAAGTTGTACTGATATTTTTACAAAACATGAAGACTTGTTAAAAATGAAACAAATTTGAATGTATGCAAAATTTTATCTAAACATATATATTTTTTTTATTTAACAACATTTTTCATTGAATATTTGAAGTTTTTTTTTTTAATAAAAAGTTTATTTTATGTATATAGAGATCTACAAAATTAATTTAGTTTTGCACATTTTCATACTTTTTATACCATTTATATTTGATTAATCAAATTGTTAGATGTCATGCTTTATTAATGTATTCATGTGAATCATGCATTTTGAAATTTTTAGTTAATTAAAAATGTTTAACTATTTGTTTTGTAATAAAAATTTTCAAATGTTAAATATATTTCTCAATTTGTATGATAGAGATATCCGAGTGATTTAAAACTTTATGTGCATAATATGTACAAGTACAGTGATTTGAAAATTTTTACTGTTTGATTTTTGTTAAAATATTAATCATACTTAAAGCTATAAAAATAAATCAAACGAATTAATTTTATACCTACATAAAATATTATATATTATTATATAATGAACATTTATTTATGTTTGTATGTTTATAAACCATAAAAATAATCGCATATCACACGAGCCACAAACTAGTTACATTAAATCTTAAGAACCTATTATTCTCTTTATGTTTGTATGGTTTTATTTTTATATATAAGGCATAATTTGATTAAAAGCTTCATAAATAATATTTAGATTAAATTTTAATAGAGCAAAACCACTTAAATATAATTAATATAAACAAAAATCTTCTAAGTGATTTTAATTTTCTTCGTAGCAACCATCTATATTTTAGGTTATCTGTATATATTGTGCGAGGTTATGAAGTAGCCAAGTAGCTAGATTTGTTGATATATTTAAAGTTTTATTTTTTTAATTTAATTTAGTTTTTAAATTTTTGTATTAATTTAATTTATGAAGTTAGCTAGTTTTAAAAATAGATAACAATAAAAATAACTAAAATAATTAATTGAATAAACTAAATAATAAAAATAAAATTTTAAGGAAGTTTCCTAAAAATGTGGATTTTTGAAAAGGTTGTGATTGGCAATTTTTCCAAAATTTTCGTAAGTGAAAAATAAATCATGGGCAATTATCTAAAATGTTTGGCAGATTTGAAGACTATTTTCAGGTGGGTTAATTCTAAATAATTATAAATAAATAGGATAAAACAATTTTAAAAATTGCATCATTAAAATTAAGAAATTTTTTTATTTTCATAGATAAATTAATTATCGATAAAAATGATAACAAAAAAATGGAATATAATTATTTTTAAATATTGAAAAAATATATAATAAATATTATATGTTTGCAATTCAAAACAATACACCTACTCATAAATAAATATTTGTAATCCAAATGTATAAACAACTTAAATCAAGGGTGGAGCAATTGGATTTGAAACATCCAAACAAATGCCCCCCTTTTTTATTTTGGGTATAAAAGGAGGCCCAGCTGTGATTGAAATTATTTGAGCTCCATTGTTACATGATCAAAACCTAGGGAAGAGCTCCATTTTTTAAAAATAATTAATAGTGTTGAAAAGATTTTTATGGAAGTGAAGAGAGGATTTAAAATTTTTTTTGATATATTTATTATTAAATATAAAATATCAAAATATTTAAAATATAATAAAGACTAAACTAAAAGAATAAAAATATATTTTTTATTTGACACATCAAGCTTCCAAACTTTAAGCCAAACAAAAAATATGATAAAATCATATACACAATATAATAAAGCCTAAACTAAAAAAGCAAAAAAGTATAATAAAGGCAAATTAAAAAATATAATAAGACCTAAACTTAAAAAGTAAAAAAAATATATAATTAAGCCTAGATTAATAAAGGGAAAAATATGATTTTTAATTATATAAATTAATCATAATGAAACAATAATTATTTTAAAAAAATATTTCTTAAGAAGGAATTTTTTAGACAACTAAAAAGTTTCATTTTTTAAAACATTTTCTTAAATAAAAATAATTATGAATTCTTATGAAAAATATCGAGAGGATCCAAAATTTATTTTATTTGGATATGTTTATTATTAAATATAAAATATAATAAAACCTAAACTTTCACAACATAACACAAAAAATAAAAAAATGTAATAGTAGCATATTAAATTTTTTAATTTTAATATATTTATAATATTTAACATGTAGATTAAAAAATATTATTATTATTTTTAAGTTAAAAACAAACATGTATATAAAAATAATGAAAAAACCTTTAATAAAATCAATTCACCCCAACGAAGTGGGGCCGAATTCTAGCTTGTTTAATATCTAACCAAAAGGGTTCAGGTTCACCGGGTCGAGCAAATAACCCAATCCTATACAGGTCTAGCCGTTTGGTGGAAGGCATATATAATATTATCCGGGAATGCCGGGAATCTGATTCCGAGCATCACACTCTCTAAAGTTGCGTAGTTGAGCAAGCGAATCGCAAATCAACACTCTCTCTCTCTCTCTCAAAAAAAAAAAAAAAAATCCAGCCAAAACCACAACTGATTTTCAATGGCGGCTGTTTCAGGCGAAAGACCCACCATTACTCACGTCATCTTCGACATGGACGGTCTCTTGCTTGGTAATTCCATCCCTGCATTTGCTTTCTTTTCTTTTCCATATTATATTTTACTTCCATCTCAGCTTTTTCAATTCCCATCTTCCTCCCCACCCTCACTCAATGTTACCTGACTCAAAAATCTAAACAATGTAGTTGCTATTCAGACCCAATTTATCATTGCTGATTCCAAATACTTTGCAAGAAAAAAACTTTTTGATCTTTAGTCCTATGCATCAGATACTAAACCAATACTTCTCTGTGTTGTTTGATTTCTTGAAATCCTATTATTAATTTCTTTTAGTCTTTGGAGGGCAGAGTCCTGTGCCTTACAATCTTTTTTTCTAGTCGGTATCATAATTCCTCCTGGGTTCGATGTCTGCATTCCTAATTATCTTCCTTCATTCTGGCAATGAAGTTGATGATATTTGATCCCTAAGAAAATGCTTAAATTGATCACAGTTTAGCTAAGGGAAAGCTACTTGTGCTTTTCTTCATATTTCTTTTGTTTGCAGCGATTATATTAGATACGATAATGTATCACATCATAAGAGCATGTGGAGTTATTCTGTTGGTGGGTGTTGTTTTTATGCTAGACATTTGGCAAACAGAAGCCTTGTTTTGCATATTTACCCCAAACATAGTTAGCTGTTCTGTTCACTGGTAATATTATCCGAATATATAGATTTTACTTTGTTGGAAGTTGCTGGCTAAGTGATTTCCCACTCTCCAATATTTTGATTTGCTTTGGTGATAGATGGCTAACAAATTTGTGCTAAGTTCTTGTTGTATTTGGGAGTTGCTTCTACTTATAGAACGTTTAAATTGTCGGGTATATAAAAACTATTCTTGGAAACAAACTAAAAGTCTGATATAATGCCTACTATTGTCTTCTGCAGACACAGAGAAGTTCTACACTGAAGTCCAGGAAATTATTCTTGCTAGATTTAATAAAACTTTTGATTGGTCTCTTAAGGCAAAAATGATGGGTAAGAAAGCAATAGAAGCAGCTCGAGTCTTTGTTGAAGAGACTGGGATCAGTGATTCTCTTTCAGCTGAGGATTTTCTTGAAGAAAGAGAGGCAATGCTGCAAAGTTTGTTTCCAACTAGTGAGCTCATGCCAGGTTTTTTTTTTTTTTTTTACAACATTCATCTTTCAGTTAATTATTTATCAAAATATTAGTTCAAAATTTCTATTTAACTTAATTATTATAACTTAAAAGTGATAATAATTAATCAAAAGACACAAATCCAAGCTATTTTAAAATTGCATTTTGTGGAATACAATATCTTCTTATCTTTGGGGCAAGGCTAATAATAGTTGTAGACTTTGCAATGCTGATTATTTAGCAATTTTCCACTCTTATGTATCATAATTTCAATTTTTTATCAGTTAAAGTTCAATAAGTGATTCTTTTTGTTAGAATTAAGGCTTTAGAGAACAACTTAATAATTCCTTGGGTTAGCCTTTCGTTATATAGATAATGCTAAGGAAAGAGAATCAATTACAAATTACACATTAATGCTCCCAATTAATCCCTCCTAAACTGTTTCCCATGGAATATTCCCATAATATTCCAACTCACACACATGCATACACTAACACTACCCTTCAAGCTGGAGCATATATATCAGTCATGCTCAGCTTGTTACATATATAGTCAACTCAAACTTCTAGAAGTGACTTCGTAAGAATATCGGCTAGTTGTTCCCCTGTGCTCACATGCTTCAATAATATTGTTCCACTCTGCAACTTTTCCCTAATGAAATGACAATCAACTTCTATATGGTTGGTTCTTTAATGAAATATTGGATTGGAAGCAATATGAATCGCCACCTAATTATCACACCATAACTTTGTAGGGGTCCAAATTGAAAGCTCAATTTTATTTAAGAATCGAACCATCCATGATACCTCTGTTGTAGCCAAAGCCATGGCTCTATACTTTGCTTTTGCGCTAGACCTAGCAACTATTTACTGCTTCTTGCTCTTCCAGTACACCAGATTAATCCTAAGGAAGATAGCAAAACCAAATGTAGATTTTCTATCTATAGGAGAGCCTGCCCAATCTGCCTCTACATAGGCTTGAATACCCCTATCACTAGTAGATCTATAGAGTATCCCCTTTTCAAGATTTCTTAACAAATATCGGAGGATACGCATCGCTGCTCTCCAATGAGTGTCTCTGAGAGCTATCGGGAATTGACTAACCAAACTAACTGAAAAAGATATATTAGGTCTTGTCATAGTCAGGTAATTCAATTTTTCCACTAGTCTACTGTAAGGTGTGGGATCAAGTAAAGTGCTATCTTGTAGAGAAAGCTTGATACTTGGATCCTTCGTTGTGTCACTTGGCTTAGCATGGAACAAACTTGCATCTTTCAAAATATCTAGCACATACTTCCTTTGAGATATAAAGATTCCCTTTTTACACCCTGCAACTTCAATACCCAGAAAATATTTCAATTGACCAAGATCCTTGGTTTCAAACTAGGACTTAAGATATATCTTAAGTCCATCAATATCTGCACTATCACTACCAATGATGATGATATCATCTACATACACTCCCAACAGTATAAGGCCAAAAATCTGTCGAATATAAAATACTAAATGATCCTTCTCACTTTGCTGCATGCCATACTGAACAAGAGCTGCACTAAATTTGCTGAACCACGCACGTGGAGATTGCTTCAAACCATACAGAGACCTACACAAATAGCACACCTTCCCAGAGTCTCCTTAAGCAACAAGCCCCCGTGGTTGCTCCATATATACCTCATCAGTCTAGACACTATGTAGGAAGGCATTCTTCATGTCCAACTTATATAATGCCCATTTATATGTAGCGACAAAAATGAGAAATAGGCGAATAGATGTCATCTTTGCCACTTTTGAAAAAGTATCAAAATAATCTACTCCATATGTTTGTGTATATCCCTTCGCTACTAGCCTTGCCTTCAATCTAGCCAATGAACCATCAGGATTCAATTTTGTGGTGTAAACCCACTTGCACCTAATAGCTTGCTTCCCTTCTGGTAGGGAAACCAAGCCCCATGTATGGTTGGTCTCTAGGGCCATCATCTAATCCTCCATAGCCTTACGCCATCCTAAATCTGCAAAAGCATCACAAAGAGTATTACGCATCCTGAATCTACAAAAGCATCACAAAGTGTACACAGCATAGTAATAGCATCAATTGTGGCAATACAAGTATGAAGTTGAGTAGAAAGTCCTTTGTATAAGGGCGTGTATAAAGGAAAATTTTTGCAAGTTCACGTACCTTTCCATAGAGCAATTGATACATCTTTAGCCATAGTGTATCGAGGTGGATCCATCGATGGAGAGACTATCTTGATAGGGGAAGTTTCCTTAGGTGGATGTACGCAGGTCCTTTTAGTGTACATATGACCAAATCGAGTATCTGGGCTTGGCTCAGAAGGAGATGCATTGACTGGTGTACTATGTATCTGATAGATGAGAAAATCTTTTTCTTCTGATATGATAAGTGATGGATGAGATTGTAGTACTGAAGGAAAAGGAACCAACTCATGAAACGTGACATCTGTTGAAATAATAAAGCAACCAAGGTCTAGAGAGTAGCATCGATACCTTTTCTAGACATGTAAATAACCTAGGAAGATACACTTAAGGGAATGTGAGTCTAATTTAGTGCGACCCGGATAAGTGTCACGAACGAAACATGTGCACCCAAACACCTCGAGGGAGATTGGAAATAAGGGACGATCAGGACACAATACTTGAAGATGAACTTTTCTTTCAAGAATCGAGGATGGCAAACGATTTATAAGATAGCACGCTGTGGGGACAGCTTCACTCCAAAATGCCTTAGAGACCTTCATTTGAAACAAAAAAGCTCTAGCCACTTCCCACAAATGACGATTCTTCCTTTCAACAATCCCATTTTGCTGTGGGTATTTGTACACAATGACTGATGAACAATATCTTTTGCATTTAGGAATTTAACAAACTTTGTAGAAAAATACTCTTCTCCATTATCACTCTGTAAAATTTTGATAGACTTACCGAATTAATTCTATATTTCTGCATGAAAAGTAGTGAACACAGAGAATAATTCGGAGCAGTTTTGCAACAAATACAACCAACAAACTCATGAATAATCATCAACAAATGTCTCAAAGTATCTATAACCAGATTTCGAAATAATAGGACAAGGCCCCCATACATCAGAATGAATCACAACAAAAGGAAACTTTTCTCTTTTATTAAATCGAGGTCGATAAGACACTCTGTCCAGTTTGGCAAACTTGCAAGATTCACAATCAAAACTAAAAGATGATAAATGGGGACACATAGCTTGTAAAGTTGACATGGATGGATGACCAAAACGACAATGAGACTCATAAGCTGATAACAATTCTCCTGAGTATGTCATTAATCTAGACTGTATCTTCTGAATGTCATCAAGCACATAAAGACCTTCAATCCTTCCCCTACCAATAGTCTGCTTCGTCAACAGATCTTGAAAAACACAATAAGTGGGAAAGAAGGAGACACTACAATTCAAATTCCTTGTAATCTAACTAACTGAAAGTAAGTTAAAAGGATAAGAAGGGACATATGGCATAGAATGTAAAGGTAACATGGATATAGGTCAAGCCTTGCCACTCCCCACAATATCTATAGAGTTTCCATCAGCAACCAAAACAAACCATTTCCCCATCATAGGAGTATATGAATAAAGAGTACCTGTAACTCGTCATGTGATCCGAAGCACCTGAATCAATCACCCAAGTCTTTGAGAGGGTAGCCGGGCACGTAGTAGATTTACTTTGTATAAAAGTTGCTGTTGGAGAGGAGATCGAAGTCTGATTCTGAAGTATTTGAATAAGCTTGTCATACTCATCCTGGGATAACTAAACTCCTTTCTCCTCTTGCTACTGGGTTTAAAGTGCAGCATCAGTCACATATGCTGTTAGTGGGCCAGAATTGCCCCGAAGCTGCGGACAAAAATTTCGTAAGTGTCTCTACTGTCCATAATAATAGTAGGACCGTGTGTCTCCTCTACTACCACATCCTCTACCTTGTCCACCATGTCCACTGAGTGGTACTTGCCTTTCACATTGTGGGGCCACAAATACTACCTTGTCTTCTGTGGAGGATCATGCTAGGTGACCTTGCTCGAACACTTATAAGCATCTAGTAAAGAAAGTGGATCTCTGCCTACTAACATCTGAGTACTAGCACCGGCGTACTTCTTCCTCAATCCTACTAAGAAAAACACTACAGCTAGAGCCTCTTGTTGCTCCTGGTTTGTCTTCAAATCGGTAAACAAGGGCTTGAGTTCATTAAACTTGTCATATACCTCCTTGAACGCAATAAAATATTTCCTCAAGCTCTTATTGGATTGCACCATTCTAGTCCATGCCCTGATAACATTTGAGATCCTCTACCAATTCTCAGATTTTGCATAAACAATTTTTAAAGCATCCCAAAGTCATTTGTGAAGTATTGATTGAATATCAACTTGACTTATCGTTGGAGCCATCAAGTTTCTCATCTGACAACTGTGAGCTTGTGAATCTCTTGAGTTATCACCTTTGATGCAGTTGCCTCCTCCTTGGCCATGGCTACAAAACCTTCTACCTTCATAACACAATTGGTAATCTTTCAATTGGGTAACACAACCCCTAATCAACAACTAGAAATTTTGTCCCTACTTCTGCAACCACGTTCTATACCAAGAAGAACTTATCTCCCTTAAGCTATCATTCACAAAGAAGTTGCAACCCTTTCTTCTTGTAGCCTTTGAGAATAAGGGGGTAGGCCCCTTTCAACTAATGAAGGATTGCTGAAAAGGAAGGAAAAGTTTTAAGTACATAGCTTTAGGGTTGCGAGGTCAAAGTCTATAGTAGCAACTGCTTAGGTGATGATGTAGGAGCTATTGTAGAGGGGGATCGGCAGCAGCTAGGGTTGTGTTGCTGGCTTTGATACCATGTTAGAATTAAGACTTTAGAGAACAACTTGCTAATCCCTTAGATTAGCCTTTCATTGTATAGACAATACTAAGGAAAGAGAATCAATTACAAATTGCACATTAATGCTCCTAATTAATCCCTCCTAAACTATCTCCCATGGAATATTCCCACAATATTCCAACTCACACACACACGCGCATACACTAATACACTAACACTTTTATCCTGTTGTCCTGGTGTAAGGAATAATTAAGGATCATATTTCTTATTAAAATAATTTAAAAAGGGATTCTTGTTTTGTGTTTTATCAGGTATAAACCACTATCAAGAAAAGTAAGTTAAGATTGCTTAAATATTGTGTTTTGTGAAATTTTCTCATAGGTGAAATGGTGGGAAGCTGAATATGGTATCCTTGCATATTCATGTTGGTTTTGGCTGTCTTGAACTGGTTAATTAAACATCACTATGATGGACTTCTTTCTGATTCCATTTCTACAAAAAGATTTTTCGAGCTATAGAGCAAACACCTAGGTTTAATTTGTTGTTGTTGCCATTAAATCAATCAGAACCAACTTATTTTTGTGTTTTATAAAATTTTAAAATATAATTTCAAGTTATAGAACAGCTTTAATTGATAGCTAGCAGCAGAGGGTAAGTAGAATATGATGACAATTCCTGAATGGGAAAGTACAAGGAGGAAAATGGAGGAAAGAAATTCTAAGATTCTCACACAAAGGCAACTGAGAAGTTATTTTTAAGGATTCTACATCTGATAATCTTTCATTTTTGAAGCTGCTTCCCCTAATACTTTTAGCAATGAAATCCCATGAATATTTCAAATCTTGTAAAAGAAAAGTAATTCAAAGATCATGAATCTATGAAACTGGATGCCAACAGGGGAAGATATAATTAGTTTTTTATTTTCATTTTCTTATTTATTGCAAATGAGTTAAGTAATAAATTGTTTTAAATTCCTATTCTAGGGGCTAGCCGTTTGATTGAACACTTGCATGCAAAAGGAGTTCCAATTTGCTTGGCAACAGGGTGAGCATTGTCATTTTCAGTTCTTATTCCCTTTTTATTGCTTTATTCACTAACAAACACGGAGTACTTGCACAAGTGTGAATGGTTTTTGCCCTCCTTTACTTTTTAAAAGGAAAAGCTTAAGCTCTTGGAGGGCTATGCAAGAATCACTCACCAGATGTATTTTGCAGAAGCCACAGGCGGCATTTTGAGCTAAAAACACAAAGACATGGTGAACTTTTTAAACTCATGCATCATATTGTTCTTGGTGATGATCCGGAAGTTAAACAAGGGAAGCCATCACCAGATGTATTCCTAGCTGCAGCTAGAAGGTTTGAGGTATAATATTAATCTATCATAGTGTTATCTCTTATAGTCTTGATTATAGTAACATGTGATTTAACATACATAAAGAGTTTTTTTTGTTTTATTACTTGTTATATGAGAAGTAAAAAAAAGTGGTAAGAAAGAAGTACATAGAAGTGATTTTAAGTTAAGTTCTTACCCTTTGCTTGTTTGGATTTGATAGAACTAGTAAGGAGAGAAAAAAGACAATTTAAAACAATAGGAATTTAAAATAAATATGCTATTCATGAACATAAGTGCCATATTCAAAAAATAACAAAGGGCTGCCAGTGCGTGAGGCTCATGAATTGCAGAATCTAGGGACTGTCAATGTGTGTAGCGTTACCATGCTTTTCAAAGAGGCTGTTTCTATGTCTTTAACCTGTGACATAATTGCAATGGAGTAACTTTATTATTGTGCCAACTGCCAAGGCTTACCTCATTTAAGAAATTGATTAAAAAAAATTTCTTATTGGCATTTCTCACAAGAATCTCTCAACTTTTGAAGGAACTAAAATTGTGCTTAATAAAAAGCTATAAAATGGCAGTATTTATTCTCTTGCAAGAGGAATTTGCCAAATTTTCTCAAATTTGAGTTCTCAGTTTTCTCAATGCAAACATGCTGAATTTCTTCTTGTTTCAATGGCTACCTTTCTATGTTGCCTTTGAAATGTCCTAGATCAAGGTTTATAACAACTGATAGATAATTTGTGGATTAACAGGGTGGGCCAATAGGTTCCCAGAAAATTCTTGTGTTTGAAGACGCACCTGCGGGAGTTCATGCAGCCAAAAATGCTGGGATGTAAGTGAATGTGTTTACTGATTAGTTAGTACAATTGATTATTATTTGTTTAATGCTCTAAGTTTTACTATTACTTAGTACAATTGATTATCATATGTTTAATGCTCGAAGTTTTACTTTTGGGATTTTCAATTTGATTAGAGTTTTCTGTTCTTTTATTTTCATTTTATGCTGTTTGAGCTAATTTCATGTAAAATAAGATTTCTTTATTCTATAGGGCTATAATTGTTGAGTATCTTGTAGTATTATCCCCTTAATTAACATTAATCACTCATGGTTAGTGGTCAGTTACATTCTTCACTACCTATGCTAACAAGTTTTATGAAGTACACTGTAAAAATTTCTCTGAGATTACATTTTCATTGCATTTAACATCTGTAAGGATATATTTATGACTAAATTTTAGTTACCAATTGATCATATGTGATTTAATATCTGTTGCAGATTTTTGGTCTGTTGACTTGTCTTTTCACAGCAGTAGTTATTGGTTTGTTTATGCCGCATTTTTACACTTGACCACCTTAATACATGTTGCAAATAACAATACCATTTTACCCATTATCATGGCCAAGTCATCCGTGCTTTCCATAAGCACTGCTGAATTTAAACTCTTTTTGTTTTCCCAATAAGTCACCCTTATCAGTTAGGTTTATCTAAAAAGTTTTCATAAACTGCTATCAGAAGTGTTGGGAGGTCTTTGATGGTTCAACTTTTTGGCCAATGTAATAGATGATGAGCCTTTGGTACATTAGGATTAGGAAGACTTTCCAGCTATTCACCTAGTTTCTTCTTTTATCTTTTTAATGGAGATAATGACATTAAATGTTTGCATAATTCCTTTGGTTCTATGTTGAAGCGCTTAAAGTATTAGGGTTGCAATTCTGTTCTATCACAAAAAACCTTTTGGTAAAGATACATGTAAGTTTGAAATGATGCACACTGCATGGTATTAATTGGTTAATGGTTGATGTATAGCTTATTATTCTTGTAGCATATCAACAAGATCATGAACTATCAAGGAGATGACAAAAAATTCCAAAGGGATATAGATCGAATTTGATTATTCCTTTCCCCTCTTATTCTCAATCAGGAAGCAAGTCTCTTAGACATTGTTTGCTATAGAAAACTGTAACTACGAAATGTGGAAAAACTGAGTCTATAGAAAACTTCTCTGGTTAGAATTATATAAGCACCATAGGTTTATACACAGCTAATTAGAGGGTAAACTAGGAAACTAAATCTTTCTAAATCTGATCCCTATAATTAAGGGATTGTTTATCCTAATTTTCTGTCCTTAATTTTAGGGATACAAGTATGTACAGATTACAACTAGTTGTAAGTAAGTGTTTTCCCACACTCCTCCTCAAGCTGGTGAATAAGTGTTTTCCATTCCCAGCTTGGAAATAATTTCCTAAAATGTTGTACTACTGAGACCTTTAGTCAACACATCTGCAAGTTGACCCTTAGTTGATACATACTGCGTGCAAATCAACCCACTGTCTAGTTTCTCCTTTATGAAGTGCCAGTCTACTTCAATGTGTTTTGTTCTGTCATTTTGCATAAGATTGTGTGCAATGCTTATTGCATACTTGTTATCACAGTGGAGCCTCACTGGTCCATCCACTTGATCTTCAAGTCTTCTAGGATAATCTTTAACCTTAGTAGTTCACAAATTCCTTGAGCCATTGCTATAAACTCTACTTCAGCACTTGATCTTGCCACCTCATTATGTTTTTTACTCCTTCAATTTACAAGATTACCACCTAGAAAAGTGTTGTAGTCTGAGGTAAATCTTCTATTAGTTACTGAACCTGTATAATCAGTATCTGTATTTGCCTCTAGTACCAGTAGAAATTTCGTTTGAACAAGATACCTCCCCCAAGATTTGGCCTTCAAAAAGTGTGGTTTACGATAGACAGCTTGTAGGTGCACTTCTTTAAAAGTATGCATAAATTGACTTATCACACTCACAGCATATGCTATGTCAGGTGTAGAATGTGAAAGATAAATGAGTCTTCCAACTTATCTCTGGTACATCTTTCTATCTATAGTAACATCTTCATTAACTTCTCCAAATTTATGATTAGGATCTATAAGGGTACTTGTAGGTTTACATGTGAGCTTCCCAGTTTCCTTCAAAAGATCTATCACCTATTTCTGTTGTAAGAGGAAAATACCATGTTGTAAGTAAGCTACTTCAATTCCTAAGAAGTACTTCAATCTCCCTAACTCTTTTATCTTAAATTCTCTGGCCAAACACTGTTTTAAAGATTCTCTCTTTTTTTCATCATCTCCGATTACAATTATATCATCAACATATACTAAAAGAATTGTGACTCTCCCTGAATCCCAGTGCTTGATAAATAGCATATGAGCCCTTTGACTCTGCTTTATCTCATTGCTAGCATCACTTTGGCAATTCTCTCGAACCAGGTCCTAGGAGATTGTTTAAGGCTGTATAAAGCCTATTTCAGCTTACATACATTTGTTTGCCTTTAGATGGTCTCCAAATCCTAGTGGAACCTTCATATATATATTTATTCTTCCAAATCACCATGTAGAAAAGCATTTTTTACATCAAATTGTTGAAACTGCCAATTGTAGTTGGAATAGAAATAGTTTTTAAGCTTGCAAGGAAAAATTTTTGTGAGATGGTGAGAATTTTTCATATGACGCAAAATTAGAGACTGGGTATAATGGATGTTTAATACATTCTCTGATTCTTTTTCTAATCACAATAGGTAGATCATAATCACTAGTTTTAGTTTTAGGAGATTCATGCTCATTTTGAGAAATAGAGTCAGAGACTGTAGTTACCTCATTTTAAGAGTTTGGATCAGGTTCTTGGACTTGAACTGGTTTAGAAGTTGGAACTTTCCTTCTTGAGTACACCTATAATTCCTTCATAGAATCAAGAATAATATTATCCTTAGTCATAACTTCTGTGTTTGTAGTAGATTTAGACTTAGATTCAGTGTTTGACTTGAAGTAAAAAGAAATAGGTTTAGACTCAGAAGAATTAATGGGTGAAACTATTTTGGAGGAGGACAAGTTAAGCAAAAAGAAGTTTATATCCATATCTTCAATAAATTACGTCTCCCTTTGAAGATGAGGTTGAGTAAAAAATGGTTTACTTTCTTCAAAAGTGATATCTGCAGATAGAATTTTTTGATAGGAGAATGATAGCACTTATACCCTTTCTGAGTTGATGAATACCCCACAAACATACACTTAATTGCTTTTGGATCCAAGTTCTCCCTATTATGATTGTGAACATGAACAAATGATGTACAACCAAATATCCTATGTGTGAGGTTGTTTGTGGTATTAAAGTTGGGAAAGAATTGTGAGAGTAGTTCCATAGGAGTTTTAAATCACAAAACTCTTGAAGGTAACCTATTTATAATTTGTGGCAGTGAGAACAGCTTCCTCCAATAGGATTTAGATACGTTTGCTTGAAAATGTAAGGATCGGATTGTGGCTAGTAAATAGTTGTTTTTCCTCTCCACTCCATTCAAGTCAAAAATACTGTAGAGTATTAACATAACTCATGGATAATCCCTTTTTTTTGGAAATATATAAATAGACGCTGGTTGAAATAATCTCTTGCATTATCCAGCCCAAATCTCTTGATTTTCACTCCAAATTGATTTTGTATCATGTTTTGGAAGCTGAAAAACACACTATCCACATCTGAATTGGATTTAAGTAAAAAAATCCAAGAGACCCTGGTACGATCATCTATGAATGAAACAAACCATCTTACACCAGAAATATTAGGAATTGTAGAGGGACCTCAAATGTCACTATGAATCAAGTAAAAAGGAGTAGAACTTCTTTTATTATTAACTAGAAGAGACACATGTCTATGCTTTGCAAATTCACAAACATCACAATGAAAATTTTTGACATTTAATCCTTTGAACAAAGAAGGAAACATGTTTTTCAAAGTTCCAAGAGAATGATGTCCAAGACGAAAATGATAAAGCTAGATTTTGTCTTTGTTGGGAGATTTTTTAAAAAGAAATGACAAAGCTAAACTATTTTTGATATCACTTACGTTGTTGAATGTCTCAAGATAGTATAGTCCATCCTTCTTCTTAGCAAGTCCAATCTTCTTCCCCAAACCCTAGTCCTAAAATTCATAATAGGAGGGATAAAAGGTCATATTGTAGTTCATGTCTCAAGTAAGTTTTTGTATAGATATTAGATTAGTAGACAATCTAGGAACATAAAGAACATTTTTAAGAAAAAATTAGTGATTAATTTGAACATCTCCTAATCCTACCACTATACTAAGTGAACCATCTACAACAACAATTTTCTTATTACTAGGACACAGGGCATATGTACTAATCTTCTGTGAATAATGTGTCATCTGTGGATCCTGAGTCAATGACCCAAGAACTTTTAATAGACTTATCCAAGACATTTAATCCATGAGAATTAGAGACTTTACTTGAACTAGAGACCTTACTTGAGTGTGCCAAGGAACATACACCAGGAGCCTTTTCAAGAGTTCGCAATAGGCTTTAGTTTCTCAATCTCTTATTTGTCCAACTCTCCTTATTCCCGATACTTCTCTTGGTTTGACTCCACTGCAGTCTTGTGAGCTTGCCCTTGATTTCTTGGCTATCCTCCTTTATAACCCCATTCTTTGCTTGAAGTTGAAGGTTTTCCACTTAGTTTCCAACAAAGATCTTTGGTGTGCCTTGGCTTCTTGCAATAGGTGCACCAAAGATTGTCACGACTTGAGGTTTTAGCTAAATCACCTTTCTCTTTCTCATTGATTCATAATTGTTCCAAGTTTTGGCTCTTCCCACCATTAGACACCATCGCAGATCCTTCTACATGCGGACTGTCAAGCATCACTTCTCTTTTGCTCTGTTCTGCTCTAACCATGGATATCACCTCATTTAAAGAAGGCAGATCCTTTTTTCCAAAAATTTGGACTTTGACTTGATTAAACTCAATATTAAGTCCAGCAGGAAAATCATAGACTTGATCTTTTTCAATAAATTTCTTCAAAGTTGCTGCATCTTCACTGCACTTCATTTCTATGCACCGGCAATGGTCCATCTCTTGCCAAAGATTTTTTAGAAGAATAGCATACTTTGTGAGTAACTTATTCCCTTGTTTGAAAGTTGTAGTTGTGATTTTTATCTCATAGACTTGAGCAGCATCCCTAACTTTGGAGTAGGTTTGCCAAATTGATTCCCAAATGTTTTTGCCTGTGGACAAAAACATGCAAGTGTCACTAGTATCTGGTGTCATAGAATTCCACAGCCATGACATAACCATGGAATCCTTTTCATCCCAAGCCTCAAATTTTGGATCTCCTTTCTTAGGACCAATACCAAGAAGATGGCTAAATTTTCCTTTCCCTTTTAGAAAGGTTTGAACCAATTGAGACCATTTCAAGTAGTTTTTTCTATTCAATCTGTATGCGGCTTGGATATTTTGTAGTTCTCCTATGGTTTGACCAGTTGTCACTTCCTCAAATAAGGTAGTAACGGCAGATTCTGCTATCTCTGACATAGTTATCTTTCTCAGGACTGAAATGAGTCTTGATAATAAAGGTTTAATCAAAGATAATTCTAGGCAATGAAGGCCAAAAAGGGGAAAAAAGAATAAAAGACTGAAAGACTTAACATGGTTTGGCTATGAAGGCCTAAAATAGAATTAAGCAATGAAGGTTGAAAAAATTTTCTTCCTAAAAAGAGCCAAAAGCTTTGATACTATGTGGAAAAACTAAGTACATAGAAAACTTGTCTGTAAAATTATACAAGCACCATAGGTTCATATATAGCTAACTAGAGGGTAAACTAGGAAACTAAATCTTCCTAAATTTGATCCCTATAATCGAGTGATTGTCTATTACAATTTTTTGTCCTTAATTCTAGGAATACAAATCTTAATTCTAGGGATACAATATATATATATATATATATATAGATTAGAACTAGCTGTAACTAAGTATTTTCCTACAAGAAAGATATTTCCTATCCCTCATCAAAGGTGTTTAGTGGTTATATTTCACAAGTGAAAGGTATTATCAGAAAAGGCTTCATTGTATCCTAAGGTTATTTTATTCAACCCCTATTGCATCTGTATAGTCTTCTTTTATCCTTTTACTGGAGATAATGACAAATGTTTGCCTAATTCCTTTGGTTCTAGTTAAAGTATTAGGGTTGCAATTCTGTTCTATCACAAAAAACCTTTCAGTAAAGATCTATTTAAGTTTGAAGTGATGCACACTGTATAGTATTAATTAATTGGTTAATGGTTTATGTATAGCTTATTATTCTTGTTGCATATCAATAGTATCATGAACTATCAAGGAGATGACAGAAAATTCCAGAGAGATATAGATTGATAGATTTTTATTATTCCTTTTCTCTCTCATTCTCAATGAAGAAGTCTCTTAGACATTGTTTTGTTGCAAAAAACCGTAAATAAGAAAGATATTTCCGTTTCCTCATCAAAGGTGTTTAGTGGTTTGATTTCACAAGTAAAAGGTGTCATCATAAAAGCCTTCATTGCATCTTAAGGTTATTCAATTCAACTCCTATTGCATTCCGTGACTGGTGGGGGCGAAATAAGCCTAAAGTAAATTGATATTTGCAGCACACCTTGAAGCCATTTCCTTTTACCCCTTGATTTTCTATCTTTAACCCACCGCAAAACTGAAAACCAGTTTGCTATCCAACACAATATTCTATATTAGAGATAGTTCTCTGCATAATTTAGCCTTAAGTGGATATTTCTTTAGCATTATAATACTAGTGGTTAGTGAGTTAGGGCACCATTGGCATGTTCCCCTGGTTTTAGAAATGCTATATTTTTCTTTCTTATTAAGAAGGAGATAGTTTTGTGGTCATTAGATAAATATTCATGTCGCATTTGTCTGTCATGAAATGGCTAACTGCACAAACTCATGCCCTATCCAAGCCATTGTTTCTTGGCATTTTTGTGAGGTCTTGAGCATGTTGCAGCATTTCTTCATAATTTCTAATCATCATGTTAATTTTTCAAATCAACTAGATGGTCCATTGCATACAATCATTTGATGCATCATATTAAGGTCATAGCCATAGGAATGGTATACTGCCAAAGGGGATATTGCCCGACAGTTTTGTGAAGATACATGTGGTTCAAATTAACGAATAACTATTGTCTTAAAATTGTTGTGTGCTGGCTGACTTAAGTAAAATGGGGCATTGCGGGGATTCCACTATGGATATGTAGGAATTGTGAAAATTCACTCTTTTGTAGGAGAGGCATGTGTAATTTAATTTTCTTGTGAGGATTGCAACTTAACGGAAGTACGAATATCCTCCGTGATTGTTTAGTAGATTTAGGCTAATAACTATTTTTTGATATGTTGGCAAGTGCACATTAAAAGAACTCATTATTTTCTTATATATATAAGGTACTTTAGTTCATATGGTGAACAAGTCAGTCATCTAACACCATTATTGCATCATTATTCTTCTGAGGCTTGAAGTTCTAATTATTGTTCTTGACAACAAGTTGATATATTCCTCTGTTAGCAAAGCATTTAATCTCGTTTCTTTTGTGGTTCAGATATATTGCCCTTCGTCTAATTGCATGATCCTTTACCATCTAGACTTATAGCTTGTGTAAAGCTGAATATTTCCTCTGAGCTCTCAAAAGTTTTTCCGGCAGGTCTGTGGTTATGGTTCCAGATCCAATGCTCGATAGCTCCCACCATGCCTTAGCAGACCAAGTTCTGAGCTCCTTATCAGATTTCAACCCAAGTGAGTGGGGTTTGCCTGCATTTGAAAGTGCATAAACCTCCCCATGAACCTCGCACCTTCCATTGTCGCAAACAGAAGGAAGACTCTTATCAATTGATTCTTAACCATTATATGCACCTTGATCATTCTTTAACTTAAGGCACATTATTTATTTTCTTTTGAGCTTATTTTGGTTTATAGACGTTAATTAACAGTTATGGAAATTGGAAAGTGATTATCTTTATTACTGATTGCTTTGCCCCCCCTTGTCTGGTTTATAATTGAGAAAGGTTAAACGTTAAAATATTGATGAATTAAAAAATTATGCGATAAAAATGCGAACATGCCCTATGTTATGATCTTAAAGAAAGTTATAAATCTCACATCGGTTATGTATTAGAGTTAATCTTTGGATGTAAGGGTTCATAATTTTTTAATTTATGAGACGTTTTTTATAAGATAAAATTGTGAGATCAATGAATCAAAGTGAATAATATTTCATAAGTTAGTGTGAATTGTGACACTCTGTCTGTGAATGTAATAATTCGACTTCTAATCCAAAAAATAAACAAGACAAATTAGGGCATCTATTTGACGCATTATTTGTATTGAGTTATATATTATTTATTACAAATTATGATTAACAAGTTTAAAATCTTAAAATTTTTTAAAATAAATATTTTAAAAATTTTAAATATGTAATTATATTAAAATAAATTAATAAAATGATAATTTATGATGCATTGATAATTTATAATATATATTAATAATGCATCAAATATAAATTTTTATTTTTATTTTGAGTTGTGTTTGAAAGTTATGCTAATATTTGAGCCCAAAATATTTGGATTTTTGCGTAATTGATAGACAAAAATTAGTTAAAAATAATAATAGTTAAAAACAAATTTGTTAAATGAAGCATTTTTAAAGAAGAGGATTTTTATTTTTACGAAGAAAAATATAAAGAATGTTTATTTATATAAAAATATTAATGTATTATATTTTTTAAAATATTTAATATGACTTGTCCTTGTTAAAAAACTATGACTGTCCATGTATTTATATCTTAGTTTTAGATTTTTTTTAACTGAATATACTAATCCAAAATTTTAAATTTGAATAAAAGATGAGCCACACACTTAAACACGTATCCGTATCGGATATGAGTACAGGAATCCGTGTAACATATGATCAAAAGAATAATGCCTGTGAAAGAGGCACGAGTAGTACTAGAATTTAAATTTTTTGTTTATTTTTTAAAAATATATCATTTTTATAAAAAGAAAAATAAAAAATTCGGAGAGCAAGAGAGATTTCTCCAATCCAAAGCAACCCATTTTTTAAACTGAAAAAAAATCCCTTTGTTTACAAGCAATGTTGCACGTGCAATGGAGCGTTGGGAGAACAATATATAAAACGTAGTAGTAGCATTTTTAGTTTTAGGTGGAGAAAAACGAAACAGCGAGTAGGTATAAGCATAAATGTTTGATTGGAGGTGCCTGCCTACTTGCATGCCCTTATGGGGGAGAGAGGTAGTAACAGCATTGACGTGACCTTGTCTTGTCTGCTTGATCGGATTTTTCACCATCCATCCATCCATCGTACCACACACATCTTCAATGTAATATAAATATGGATCATGGATAATAACCAATGCCTGCCATTTTCAACTCTTGATGTATACTTTCTTAAACAATGACATCTCAACCATAAAAATTTTAAGCAATTCGAGGCTTATTGGGGAGGGATCAATTTTTGCTACAAAACAAATTAATTAAGCCATGTCATTATTGGTTTCAACTTTGAAATTTATTGTCTCAATTACATTATTTTCTTATATCGTATTCACTAATCTTGCTTAAATTATTTAATATAATTTGTGATTATATTTGAAAATATAAGAGAAAATTATTATTAAAATTTTAAAATACCCTTTTTGATACAATATCCCATGCCAACCAAGAATTAATAAATATATATAATTGTTTCAATGGTATATCTTTCCTTTTTTTGAGCTCGGTTTATATTTGAAAAGTTAGGTTTAGGTTGAGTATGTTCATTAAGTTTATTAAAATTAATGCATTTAAATATATTTTAAAATTAAAATTAAATAAAAATATTTTTATTAATATTATAACATCTCAATTTAAATATTATGTTCAAAACTCAATCAAGATAAAATCAAGCGTGATAGCTCCACAGGTGAAAATGATGACAGTGATAAAATATGATGCAAATTGTGGCCAAATCCGTCTCTCGTCATCAGTGATAGACGGGAAATACGTGCCTTAGCCAATGCCATCTGAAAAGAGTCCATACCTTATAACCAACACTACTTGACAAGGGGTAGCTACGTTCACAACTCAAACAAAATTTAACAAACCTTATTCTTTACCATTAATTTAATGCATGCCTTTTTCCTTTTTTTTCAAAGTCCCCCTATTCTACTTTAACCTACCCTGCACTCCATCCAACCCTATTAATTGCAAGACTTACTTTGATTGGAGAGGAATTTACGCCTCGAACTCAAGCAGCCGTCCCTCGTACTGCTGAGCCAAATGCTCGTTGGCAATGCATGCCTTTTTAATACCTGAGGCATGGATTCAAATTGTAACGATCTCATTTTTTTATTATGATATATTTATTATGATTGTGAATATAATAATTGTTATCATAATTATTATATTCATCGTGATCGTAAAATTTTTTTAATTTTATATAATATATTATAAAATATAATAATTATAATTATAACATAAAAAATTTTAATAATTTTTAAAGTAATTTTATGATTTTTTTATTTATATAAAAAATAATCATAATTTTTTGTTATTACAAAAGTACTTTGTACTTCAAACAGTTTTATATTTATCTAGTTATTAATAATGTATTTTTTTATTTATAAATATTTTATATTTATGAATTAAAAATGAACAAATTACAAATAAAAAAACTTAAAAAATATAAAAATTATATTTAATTAAATTTTGATATTAAAACTTATAACCATAAATTCAATGAGCCCAAAAACAAAAAAGTTACCAACTTTTGTATCAAAATGGGTCTAGTTTAAGCCTTCTTTTATTTTTCTAATTTTTTTGTCTTTAATCTTCAAACTGTGCCGTTTAGGTCTTGGCAAATCCCTAATCTCTTTTTCTTCTGTTTCTTTTTTTTATCTCACGAGCAGTGCCTCTTCTTCTTTCCTAGCCTAAACCCGAGATGCAACCTTCAATTCCAACCATCACCTGCTATTGCTCATCCATTCATTGCCCAACTCAAAACAACCTTTCCTCTTTTCCTTTCTCTTCCTTATTCTCTTTGAGCAATGCACCTTTTTTTAAACTTGAAACTTCACCTCTTTATTTGCTCATGCTTGATCTTAATATAAATTTTGATTTTGACTGAGATTGTATTTTTTAGTTTTTAGTTTTTCTCAAATGAAAACTGAAATTATTATTATTTTTTTGATAAAAAACAGAGTTACGATAATAATGATCCGTCTTTGTCGTTATTTACTATTAGGTTATTTTTTACGATCGTGACGTGTTGTTAACGTCGTGAATGATATTTTCATCCGATAATTTTTTAATAACTATAGCGAACATCAATGTTATCGCAAAATGACAATCGTTGTTCTGTTATTCCACCGTTTTTTAAATCTTTGGTGTGAGGGATTCAAACTTAAATTTTACAAACAAAGGATTTGAATCATATACTGACTCAACGAGCCAACTTAAACATTGGTCACTTGATTTAGAATTTCCGATTTAGATACCCTAGAGAAGAAGCAGAAGAACAGTCGCTCCATATGGAAAAAGTTGTTTTATTTTCAAAAAAAGGACAAGGCTACAGGGAACTCTAGATATGAGAATTAGCTATAAGAAAAATACATTCCCAGTTAAGGAATCAAATTAAAGAGCTTAATTTGCTTCTTTTCTTTCTTAATTTCTTTATGTTTTCACACATGTAAGTTCTTCCTTGACAAATACAGCATATACTCAAGTTTAAAGAAGCCAAAATTAGCCCAACAAACTATGCCCCTCTTCCCCTCCTTGAATTCCCCTTCGCTGGCAGTATCCGAATTCTCTTAGCCACACGTACAAAATCCCTGCTTATTTTCACACATACAAACAAATTTTTAAAGTCTTAATCATTCAAATTAGAAAAATAAAAAAAAAATTAGTATTACGGTTTAAATTTTTAGAATAATATATATTTAATTGTTTGAGAGAAATTAAGAGAAATACTAATGCTTGAGGACTTACTTCCAATTAAGGTCTCCAGCGAGAAGAAGATCATTTTCCATGTCTTCATAGGCAATGAGGTGACCAGGAACAGCATTGGAAAGATCAAGATCATTGTCCGAGATGACTCCATCGTCGTTTCCGTCCACAAACATTTGCCTGAGAGCCTTTGCAAGGCTATGGTAACTTGCATGCTTATGGAGACTGATGCGCTGACAGATGGAACGGCCTTCAAGCACCACAGTCACTGGGGGGACGACGCTGGAAACAAGATCATCATCAAGAGCAGGGAAACGCTGGAAGTGTTTGGTAGCGTCATTAGGGTTAGAGGACAAGATCAAGGGTGTAGAAGAGTGAGGTGGGATTGAAGCACCAACAAATCTGGGGGTGTTGATGTTAGGGAATCTTCTGTCTTGCCATCTCCCTTTCAAGGAGTGATCTTGTCTTTGAGATTCAAAACTGTTCATCTGGTCTCTCTTAATTTGTCTGTGTAGATGAGGGTCTGAGAGCAGTAATACTATTAGTTTGCGACCGGTGGCTGGCTTAATTTGTAGTTGAAAATTATAAAAGGGAATTTATGTATGAGTTGTACTTACAGCTAATTAAGAAGCTGAAAAGGGTGAGGTCCACACAGTGGGGGAGGGGGATATTATGTTAATATACATACATACATACATACATATATATATATATATAGGAGAGAGAGAATTCAACGAGGAAACTGAAAAAAGTTGGGGCTTCGATGGTTGGGGGCGTGATTGGGGTTCCGATTGATAAAATTTGTTTGGAATTCGATTCGATTTTATCATCAATAAACTCGAACTCGATTCAAATTTTTTTTTATTTTTTTATATTCGATCTCGACCCGAATCTGATATTATATAATCTGTATTCGATTCGACTCGATTCAAAATTAATAAAAATATTATTTTTTAAATATAAATATTTAAAAATATCATTATGAAAATATATATAAATAATTAATTAAAAAATTAATTAAAAAATAATTTTTTAAATAATATCGGATCGAATAGGATCGGATATGCCTAAAACCTAACCCCTACCCCGATCAAATTCTGACCCGACCCTAATTATTTTCTAACATTATTCGATTCGATTCGATCCAAAATTTAAAATTCAAAAAAAAAAAACTCAACCTCGTAAAATCGAAACCGTCGGAGTCGAGTTGAATTTCCTTCCCCTAATTGAGACAGATAGAGAAAGGGATTCAACTTGAAATAATTTGACTTTTCAAGGGTGAGTTCTAGTCAATTAAACAAAGTAGTAGCTAGGGGTAGGGAGTTCACTGAGGGATTGCCTCGTTTGTGTTGTGTTTTGGTGGGGTTTTGGTGAAAGTAAAGAGGGAGAAAAAGAGGGATAATGGAAAATAAAAGAAAGGAAAATGGTTTATATAGATGAGAAACGTACAGAAGTAAATGAGAGAGAGAAAGTGAGAGCCTAAATGTCGGAGGCGTCAGTCTGAAAACCAGTACTATCTATCCTTTAATTTATAGATTTTAATTTTTAATTAATTGCTTAATATATAATTTTACTTAAACAACAACATTTAAATCTTTCCCTCTTTCAATTTTTTTTGTTAAAAAAAAATTTGAGATAAATAAATTATTTAATTTTTTAAATTAAAATAAAATATATTATATTTAATAATTTAAAATAAATAATTATAAATCATATATCTCAATAAATAATTACTAATAAAATTTGAACTTAATATAATTTTATAAAAAAAATAAATTTAATCGATTTAACGAATCGCTTATTAATCTTTCAAAGTTATTTAATTTAATGGAGACGGTATCTCATCTTCCATTTTCTTTACTCTTTTAAACCCAACTCTCTGCTGTCTGCCCGTCTCTGCTTCACTTTCTCATCTCATTTCTATAAAAGCGACTGTGAAAGGTTTACTACATAAAAGTATACCGAAAGAAAGACAGACTCATGCAAGTTTTTGGTACTTGGTATAGTAGTAGTAGTAATTACTAATTAATTAGCAAATGAGATCGACTAAACACTTGAAATAGCAGTGTAAATATGCCCATATTCATGAATTTAGTACTTTTTATATATTTACTTAACTTGAATTAATTTGATTACAATCTTAGCTTTTTCTAGAATATATAAATCAATGTGAGATATTTCTACTGTTAAATTTTGAAGATTTTCCAGTAAATTCTTCATTTTTCTAAGGAAACGAAAATTCCTTAATGTATAAAAAAATTTAATTGTATTTTTAAAAGGGATTAAGGTAAAATTTAAAATTACATGCTATAATTCAATCTTGAATTTTATTGTTAGTACTTCAATTTTATTGAATTTGACTATTTTTAATTTTGTTGATTTTTTCAACAAAAAAATGGAATTAGAATTTGTCTTGAAATATTTTGTTGATGCAAATAATAAAATTTTTCATTATATTTTCAATTTGGTTGATTTTTAACAAAAACAATGGAATTAAAATATTTCATAAAATATTTTGTTAATGTAATCAATTTCAGATTTTGTTCAAAAATCAATAGAATTAAAAGTATAATGGAAAATTTGAACAAATTAAAATATAATGATAAAATTCAATATTTGATTCACAATAAAGTACCAAATTAGACCTTAATAATTCCTTCTTAAAAAGATAAATTAATTTGGCAAAACCAAGTAGCCAAGGTATTATATAGCGGGTGATTAGAGAGAGAGAGAGAGAGAGAGAGTAATGGGTGGGGGAAGGGGGAAGGGGATGTTTGCTTGTAAGTGCAAAGGATGGGTGTGCGCTTCAGCCTTCAATAATGTTGGGCTGGATTTTGTCTTAAAATACTATTACATTTGTGTATGTATGGTAGAATTTTTTCCTTTTTAAACTATGATAAAATAATAATAATATTTATTTATTTATTTATTTTATAGGGATGGTGATAAAATGCGTGAACTAAAAGTAAACTGATGAAGTATTACTTAGCATAATAATAATAATAATAATGTATTATAAATTTCTACTTTTAAAATAAAATAAATAAAAATAAAAAACTCCGCCTGAGCCATAGACGACGACCTCGCTATGTTCGGCGGACGCTACGCTCTTTGACTCTCGGGATTGTTGGGACATTCAATTCATTTTGCATTACTATAAAAATGGTATTGACCAAAAAATTTTATTTAAAATATGTGTCTTGTCCTTCTATGGAAAGACAATGATGCCCCCAATGACTTACATATTACAAAGGTATTTCATTTTCATATTTTCCTTTTAAACTTAAAAGTCATGTAATTCGAGACTATAATTAAAAAAAAAATTTCGAGAATTTTTTATAAAAGATGCTGTAATTTAGATTTTTAAAAAAATTACGAATATTAAGATTTAAATTTAAAATTTATTAAATGTTATTTATTAATGGTGATTACAAAAAATAATTGAATTAGATTTTGTTTTTTTAAATATTATTAATAAATAGTTGAATGATTAAATGAAAAAAATTTATATTATTAAGTTTTATATTACTAACATAACGAGATTTTTTTTTTTTTTACTCGTAACTCTCATTTAGTTTACTCCTCATAATTCAAATTCAAAACCTTTTAAATTGGATTACAAATGTGTATAAATATTCAACCAATGGACGAAAGGTATATATTTGTAAATACTATATCATGACGTTTATACAATTGAAAATATAAGAATTTTGTTTCTTGTAACACCATGCCTAAGAGTACTTTCACAGATAATTTGGCTCTCCCATGCATTGAGATTTCCACATGCTTTAGCACGAAATAAGATAAAACATGGTACTCCGGCCATAAAACAACCATAGAAGTTTGTGACTTCTGGGGTTAGCTTCGGCCTAAAAGGGTTTATGGACTATGTGATTCGTAATATATACTCTTTCTATAAAATTGATAACTTATATATGCTAGAAAAGTGTATAAAAAATAATCTTGAGCTTGAGCATGGGTTGGTTCAACAAGGAACGAGTCATATTCGAATATTAATTGAGTTCAAATAATTCACAAGAATGTAATTCGTTGATATCCCTTTTTATGATATAAATGATAAGTGTTAATAACAAACCAAAGAAGTTAATATATAATATATATTGAATGATTCAGATATAAGTATTAATCCAAGATTATTGTATGAAAATTAGAATACCATATATTAATTAAAGAGATTTGACATACTTGTTTGAGTAATCATTATCAATCTTTTTGTAGATTTCTCTAAACTTATTGAAAAATCTTTACGGCATTCAAATGTATTTGTAGATCTCTTTAATATCTTCGAGATTCCTTAATGGTATCATAGATGAGATATACTCAACTAATATGACAAATATTCCTTAATGGTATCATAGATGAGATATACTCAACTAATATGACAAAATTTAACTTTTCAAGTGTATATGTATTAACATAATAAATAACAATATAAAATATTAACCGATAATTATCATCATTCAAACATGAAATCGAATATCATATAGATATTTCAAACATAAAGATAAATTATGATGTGTGACTATGAAATACAAATTATATACCTTGTCTAAAGAACTACATCAAAAGACCCTAGAATACCATGCTCTCAACATGTTTACTGAATACTATGGGTCTTAACCCTTTAGTCAAAGGATCAGCAGTCATTGCAGACACTCAATTTCATCTGAGGTGTGCGTCCAAATTCTTGGTTTTGATTTTGTCGAGATTGTCGAGCTTTGAGCCCCATGTATGTCACTTTGATTTGGGTTTTGCCCTAAAAAATATTTTATTTTATTTTTTATTTGTTTTTTATTCTTTAATAAAAACTAAATAAATAAAAAAGGAAAAAATAAGAATTTTTTAGAAATCTTGTACAAGAATCGGGCAAAAAGAAAATTTTGACATTATTTCTTAACCTGCATGAAATAGGAAATCAAATAAAAAAGGTCATAGAGCATCAAGCTAAGGTTTCTATTAAATTGATTTTACCTAAATTAAAGGATTTAATAAAAATCTTTGAAAATCCTTGACGATCAATAGAACCCTAAAATTTCTGACTAGAAAATTCTTATAAATTATTCTAAGGCGAACAAAGAATAAGGATAGAGAAAAAGATTATATGAAAACTCTTGAGAAAAAAAGAAGAGAATCATTCAAAAACAAGATATGATTTCTGGTAGTAAGTTTCTTTTTTTGAAATTTTTTGTAGAATCTAGATTTGTGAAAATTTATTCTAATAAGCTGCGCAACCCAATTGCTTAGCCAAACCGACTTCAGGGGTTTATTTTATTTTTATTTATTTAGCTATTTTACTTATTTATTTGATTATTTATTATTCTTTAAATATATTTTATAAAAACATATTTAAATAAAAGCCTTACCAACATATTAAAATGCAACATTTTTTTAAAAAAATAAGGTTTTATCAACATACTAAAAAACGTTATAACATTTTTTTATTTCAAAAAAATAAAATAAAAAACCTTACCAACAGCTTGAAGGGCCAATATTTTATTTCCAAAATAAGATTTTACCAACTTATTGGATAGCCTTATAATTTTTTTTAAAAAATCAAGTTTAAAAAATATAATAAAATAGTATTTTCTATCTTTTTACATAAAATCCTACCAATAAATTAGAAGATAATTTTTAACCAAAAGTCTTACTAACAGATTGAAAGATTTTTCTGACTATAAACCTGGTTTATAGATATTTATTTCTAGAAGCAAAATTGAGTGAATATGACGATAGAACTT